ACATGAAAATTTGTTGGAGCCAACTTTGTTCATATTTAATTTGACTTAAAAATCAGTTATCTTACTGAAGAAGGGATCTGGAATGATTTATCTTTAGTAAATTAATGCAGGATTTTTATATAACTTTTCATTTAGCTTCAAGTTTTAATTTTTAAAAGTTATCAGGCTATTAATATTATCGAGTTGTTGCACAACCATTTTTCTTGTCTGTAGCTAGAAGCTTTATATTTGCTATTGTGCAGCTGTATGGGACAGCTCCCTTTTGATTTATTAAACAACCTCCTCAGTGTTTGCCTTGGATTTCACAACATCCTTTTAAATATACACATTGTGCAATTGTCATTGTCCCACCCTACCTGGAATCCAGGAATGCCTTTTCTTTCTGTAGTTAAAGTCAATTACTCCTTTCAGATACTATCTTCTGGCTACAGATTGTTCTGTCTGCTGCATTCCTATATTCCTATTCCTTTTTCCTCTTTAAGTCTATCCACGGGTTATCTCCACCATAGTTCCACCATTTCAAAAGGAGACATTTTTGTGGGTTCTTCCATTTTTTATTTTGGAAAAGGAATGCAGCAAATATGGAAGGATTTCTCTGATTTGGACCCAGGAAGCACCTTGACTTCTATATGGTTGGCATTACTGCTCATCTAGAGGATTATCTTATCTTTATCCTAGTGTGGTCCATGGAGAGTATGGATCCTGTGCCGGTGCAATTTGCTCTCAGGATTTCATTCAGAATCAAGGTCATGCTAGCCTGCCTGAGATTTCACTACAAAGCTAATGTATTTATCACATTAAATTTTTGACTTGTGTTTTATTGTTGTGGATGGTAAGAGTTCTTTTGTCCCAAGGAGTGAAATGGAACAAGATAAGAAAGGATTCTGAGGCTCTCTACTAACGGCTACTAGTTTTTTGAGTGCTACTATTCAAACATTTAGGTGTTCATTTAATGGAGGTAGAAATGCTAGAGAAACCATAATTACTCTGAAAGCTTTCTGGATTCTGTTTGAACAGACTTTCAATTAAATACTGTTATGAAAACATTTCCTCCTCATTTGTCAGTTAGTAAGTTTCAGTCTCTCTCATGCCATCTGCTGTCTTCTGAGATCTTTAGTTCCCAGGCCATTTCAGGTCACTCTTCTCAATATATTCTTTTCAGCTTCTTTCCCCACTTCAAGACCAAGTGCTGCTCCAGCATCCCTAGTTCATTGTGTTATGGTAACTGTTACAGGCTCTATCACATGCTCTCAAGCTTCTACGCATACTATTACTCACCATTTTTTGTCTCATTGGACTACTAGACAAACAGAAATTCATCCTCTCTAGAAACATGTGGAGTCTGTCCCATTATATAAAATCTGTTCTTGTAGACAGGTATTACAACACACTATTTAAAGTCTGGAAATCAGTTAACATGGCTCTTGTGGATATGCTTCAGCTAGGCATATCCACAACCATCTACTGTGTATCTTTTTGATATCTTTGTACAGTACTGGGAACAGAACTGGAATAAAACTTTACTTTCAAGGTCAATGAGGCCTTCTCTTATTCAGACATGTGGAGTCCTGTGTGCACAGTAATACTATAGACCCTTAACATAGCAGAATTAGGGCCACAGCATTCAGCTCTCCTGCATACCATGGTTATCTCTGAGGAGTTAATTCAATAATAGTAGGACGCTAACAATTAGTGCAGTGGAACAACTGATAACAGTGTGGAAACTGATGCGGTGGACTTCTTTCCTCCCACAGTTAAAAATCTACTTTGTTTTACTTTTCCTCCTGCAATATAGCTCTACCTGTCAGCCTGTCTTTGACATGTTCATAGATCAAAGGTATTTTCTCTTCTGACTGAAGACATGAGTTGCTCATGTACTGTTTCAAAATTCACTGAGCTCAGTTGTACCATGTTAGTCATGTCTGTACACTAAATCTGGGCTGTCCTTTGCTACATTTGACTTCCAAGTCCTTAGCTAGTTTCTGTGTTCCACTGTATGTTTGAAGGTCCCCATTGTGCTGGGAAAATAAAGAATTCTGTCTGCCATGGCAAGAAAAGGGGTTATTGAGCAGGATTGTGTTGTGGCTGTCTAATGTTTGTAGCCTTCAGAAATCAAGAGCAAAACCATTCAAGATCTCAGCCTCAACACCATTAGAAATCTCACCTCAACTTCACAGTATCATCATATATATCTTGTATCTCTTTGGTAGAAGACTTTCAAAAGCTTCTAGTTAAACCGGAATCAAACTTTTAATCTAATATATGGATAAAAGATATGTGATATCAAATAATAAACTTCATGCCTTTAACAAGGCTTTCAATTTTCCTATGAGATAGGGACTGATAGATGAGACTGAATCTTGGACAAGGGTCCAAAATTAAATGATGAATATATTTCTAATGAGAGTGATTAGATGAATATCAACAAATGGGGGGAGTACTAAGGAAAAAGAGTCAGAAAAGAGAAAAACTAATAAAGAGTCAATTATAACTAGGCTGTCTGAAAGAGGATGAGATTTTAATGGTGGTTGCATAAACCTAGGCTGTTCCTAAAGGTTACATTAAAGAAAATAGGGTTCATAGATGGAATGTGTCAGCCCACAATGGAGACTGTGATCAGGTCCTGGAGATATATGAAGATTTGAATCTTGGTCAGAGGAGGGTGTAAAACAGTTTCTTTACATCAGGAAAATTTGGCATCATCCAGGAAAATTTTCCATTACCTTGTACTAAGCAGTCTGAAGGAAGTATGGATTATAAGTAAGAAATAAAGCTGTAAAGAAGCTGTAGGCCCAATGAAATCACAGCAAGCAATAGCATAAAATTGTTATAGCATTTTATATCCTTCAATTGTCATTCATGAAGTTTATGCTAGAAAAGAAGTAACATGGCTTTTGAAGGATAAAGAATGATTATATTGTAATTGGATGAGAAAATTTAAATTGAACTGAAAAAGAATACTCACAAATACACTCAGTCATGGCAGAAACAGAAGTCATTATGAAACCTGATGAATGACAATTTACAGTGCACTGTGATCTTATCATGAGTGTATCATAACAACGTTGCTTTCATAGGAAATCAAGCTTTTTCAGTCTGTGGGACTTTTAGAAATGGACATCTCCGAGAACCTCTAGAATACTGAACAAGATAACACCTGTGTAAACATATGAATAACACACACACCCCTCAACACTTTTTTCAGATTCTGACTTATTTCAAATAATCCTCTTTGGTCTGTATGACAAATCACTTGACTCCTGTTCAGGGATGCTCTTGTCTTTGATTATGCTGTTTTCTGTGTGGTGCATGATGAAAAGCTTCAGGGGGAAAGCTAAACTGAACACATGAAATTTGTGTTAGGTTCGGAAAACCTCTAGGTTCTGTTCACTTATTAAATAGTTTAAAAGAAACAGCATTGGATTGAAGCATGCTCTTGCAAGACCAAAGGTAGTGTTGGTTTTTTATCTTATCTTTTAAAATGAAATCATCTTATAATTCAAGCAGATTGAGATAGATACATCTTGTGCTAAACTATTGCTAAAACCATATAGGTAAGTGGAGATAATTCTAATGTCAGTTCTGCAGGATGCCTACCTCTCTTCAGTTTTCAGTTTCAAGTCTGCTCTCATTAGCATTCAGTAAGAATCCCCAGGAAAGGACATATGCATTGACACCCAGGGCTCCCAAGCTGCAAAGTAAGTCAGATGCTGGAATAGAATTCAAGAGCCTCTCGAGATCCTTAAGTTGCTTCTATAGGAAATGAGGGCTGTCACATCCCTTGGGTTTATAATACAGCACGTGTGGGAGTTATTGAAGACAGCTGGTAGGAAACACTAGAGAAAGAACTACAGCTGAGATTTTCTCCTGTTAGATCTCTCTGTGAAACTGCTGTTCAGAAACAGTAATTATTTCCACTGCTCACACACCTGAGCTGTGCAGGTGGGTGCAGAAAACTGGATCACTCTTTTATTCAAAACAAATACTGGATGTGCTTCCATATTGACCTCTTCCATAAAATGTTCTGAATTTGTTCAGAACATTTCAAAGTATCTCTGTAAGACATAACCATATGCATATTGTATCCCATTTTCTTGCTATTGGAATAACTTTTATTTTAGATGGGAAGGATGAAGCAAATACATCTTCAGAGAGAGTTATGCCATGTACAAGCATTTCCAGCTGACTACAGTGTAACTGAACAAAGTATAATAATAGCAACCAAAGGATCTATAATCAAGAATATAGTCATAATTGCATATACAACAGGTGTAAATTAAATAAGTAGATAAATTAAACCTGAAATAAACAATGCTTCAGAGGAAGGTAGGGAGCACAATTAATATAACAGATGATAGACATAGAGAAGAGTTTTTCACAGCACAAGAAAAGAAGAAAGCTTTCTGCAGGGAAAGTGTGTTTTATAGCTCTCTCCTAAGGTATACAAAAGGGTTTGGGTGTAGCCACTTCCCCAGGTTCAAAGGAAGGCTTTGAAGTGCCGCTTGTTAAGTTGAAAGGAAATTGAAAAGATATCAATCAAGGAATGCTGAGCTTCATTAAATATTGTATATGGCAGTAAACTGGGTAGAAAATGAAAAGAGGAATCAGCAGGTTAACAGTTGGTTAAATGAGCTGGTTTTCTGCACTAGCAAATGGTGACTGGTCATTTAAAATGATTAATCAGAGCAATAACATAGGAAAGCAATCAGAAATCAAAGACAGGTTATGAGAAAAAGGCAAGTTTTTTGGTGGCACAGTATTATAAAGGACATTGGAGTAAAGGACCTTGTAGGATCTAGGACCCAATGGCAAAGCAGGCAGAAGTGGGTGCACGTTGAACTCCAAAGACTGTATTCAATAGAGATTTGTTTTTCATGTAGGCACAGCTCAGAATAATGATTGGCACATAAATGCCTTTCATAATGAAGACTGTGTTCATAAATGTAGTCACTTACAGAGTACAATAACCAGAGTTTTTGTGGCCTCCTTCATTTTGTTTCTATACTTTCTTCATAACATCTATTTCTTCAGTGGATCCATTTCTTCTTGTTCATGTATTCATGGTTGTTCTTTCCTTTCATTTTCCTTCTGTCATAGTGCAAATGTTTCTAATAAAACAGAGATGTTTAGGTGTAAAAGTTGTATATCATACCTCTTCCAAGGAGCTCTATATGTCCCAGCTGGATTTAACATGACCAGTGAATATTTTTTGCAACATATATTATCATCTCACTTCCCTTTTATCCAGTGTATAGTCACTTTGCTGCCAGTAAAAAGGGCCAAAATTTGAGAAACTCTGCAGTGTAAAATTTGTATCACTGAGTACTGCCATTTTAGCAGTTGTTTCTGCACAGCTAAATTGTGTTAAAGATTGAAACTGCAACTTCACTGGATTTGACATATTTAGGCGTAAGGTAATACCTTTTGAATTCAGACTTCTTGTGTACTGAAAGCAGAAACTTATTTAGAGTCACGCACTGATAATCTTGAGAAATTCTGTATACCGTTTGTGAATCCTGCTGGTAGTATTGGAAGGTAATTGTGGGGAGGTCTCAATTTCACAGACACTGAGCAGGTTCTCAGTCAATGTTTCATTCAAAGTGATAAAATAAGCAGGATCAAGAAAGATGTTTCACAACTTGGAAATAATTTTGCCCAGTTTCTGAACCAATCCTGTATTTTGCTTCAACTTCCACGGTGGAAAGGGGGACACAATCCACATGATTAGTATAGCCTTTAGAAGATACTAGAATAGCTGTTCATTTTACCTGGCTGCTTCAAATAAACTGTTACGTCTTTAAATACGTTTCCTCGAAATACTGTTATTAACAGTGTACATTAATTCAGGGAAATGCTTACTCTACCATAAAAGGCTAAGAAGTAGAATCAGAAATATCTGTGTTAATATAATATATTGTTTAATTAATTCATGCTTTTCATGTTTGGGATTAAATTGAATTCAGTGTTCTGTAAAACAGCTAAGGATATATGCGAAATCAAAATTATGTATTGTCTTAATGGGGCTTCCACACAGTACTTATCTGTACCTTAACATCACATTATGTGAGAAGCTAAAATCTTTTTCAAAACCTTCGAAGGTTGCATTTTTATTCACGTGATTAAGCCTATAGACTAAATTCTAGAGTGAACAATCTACCATGAAAGGCTAACTGATCTCAGTACTTCATTGTTTCCTTTAGACAGAAATAGAGGAAAGATTTGATTTTATCAGTCATTAGGGAACTCTATGAGATCTATGAGGGCAGGTGGACATTATTCTAGCTCACTCAGTAGCTCATATATGACACATAGGCCGTGTTGCCTTACCTTACTAGGAAGGTCATCTCTAAATCTTTGGAAACAACTAAATAGTGGGAAGTGGTACTGCTCATTGTAACAACTTGAAAAAAGTACCTTGCAAGTGTTTGCCTGTTTTCAGTAGGTTTAGTTGTATAACCAAGATTAACAAGATATTTGTTGGGCCCAGTTCTCTCAGGTGTATTTCAGGCAGAGTTTTTCTTGTTTATCTTCACATGTAAGCTTAACTTTGCTTTTTCAAAGTTCTTGCTTTCTTTTTATTAGTAAATTTTATTACGCACTATTCAAGAAGGTAAGACCGAAAAATCTTGAAGACAGCAAGAGGCACACAGCACCATTCCAAAGTCACAAGCTACTGGTCACACGGAAAACTTTAAATTCCTACTGATGGAGCAAGATGCTATATAGATCACCTTTTCACTGCCTTTTTATACACACACCTCTAGGAAAAGTCCACCCCCACCCACAGAGTTGAGTCCAGGAAAAAAGTTAAAGAAAATCTATAGAAAAGGTATTCCTTGACTCATCCCCTGTTTATGCTGAGATGGTTTAAACTGGCAGGAGGACCTGTTCTACAGGGTCTTCTGCTAGGGCTAACCTCTTCTCAAAATCTGTACCTGCCATGTCACCTATTTAAAACAAATTTTGAAATGTATTTAAACAGGTTCTTCCACAGAACATGCATAGCCTTCATCAAGATAGCTGAAAATTCAACTTGACATCCTTCTTCCCCTTTGTCTGAAATTTGGGGCATCATCTCTATGTTTCTTTGCACTGTATAATATCCTGGCAAAATTTTCAGTGCTCTAAAATAATGAAGATAAAGATAATTGGTCTGGATTTTTCCCTGTCTAAGATCCTGATTCTGAGATTGCTCTTGTTCTGGTTTTGGAAGTTGAAGCAGGATCGCAGCCTCTCATTATTTATCCAAAGAAGGAGAAAGGGCAATCAAATAATTTTTACACTATAGTTTTTCTGGGTTTTGTAGAACAGAAGTATAACCAATTCCACAGATTTTTCTTTTCACTCAGCCCTAAGTACTATGTACCAAAATTGGTAAATCATTCTCTCTCCAGAAAACAAACAGGAGAGGCTCAGAGCTGATAGAGTATCTCTGAAGGCATTCTTACATAGAGATGAAGTAAGTAAGAGTTTGCACAGCCACTGCTTTTATATACCTGTTTTCTAAGGGATATGATTTTTAAACTCACTAAGGTGATCTTTTTCCATTGAGCTTTTAATCCCCATAGACTGTGTTAGCCTCTTGCTATGCTGTGTGCTGTTAGATGCAGAGGTTATCCAGTACTCAAACTCATTTTCATGAGCAAAACCTTAGAACTCTTCAGCAAAACTTACTGGGAGAAAATATATAAAGGTTCAGAATGCTATAAAAGAACTGTATCCCACAAAATAAAATGAAGAGATCATTTTATTGGCTGTGATCTACATCTCAGGTATGTTTATGATCACAGTATTTTTTAAAATCTATGATTTATAATATTCAGATGATATAAATAGATTTTAAAAAGATCTATTGAAGGATGAAAGGTATTTTTTTAAAAGCAAAATAATTAGCAGTTTTTTATTTCCCAGCCAACATTTGGAACCTTGTAAACATTTGTTCTAGGATTAAAATATCAACATCATTAAAAAAGAACCATGTGGCATTTCTGTTAAATTCATTACATCCCCCTTTTTTCCTTTGTAACTTTCCAGTTTTTCACAGCTTATCAGATATGAATCATCTCTAAAATAGTTTAAAAAGTTAGCTTTATTTTTGCAATATTTTACTTCAGGAACAAAATGTAGCTTTGGAATTTTGTGAAACTTAGCCAATGAATTGAAATGTCTAAAATAATTTCTTATGACAAAGAGGGCACGATCAGCTCTAAAAAAAAATTTAATTGAAGCAGCATACATTTATAAATTCTGCAAAATTTGAGTCTTGTTCTTCTGTTTCACCTCTGAGTGATTAGGTAATAATCTTATACATGATCTTTTAAGACTTTCTAAGTCAAAATCTGTATTGAAAATTTGAAGTATCCATTTTTACCTGGAAGGTTTTCTCAGCAAATAGAGTGAAGTACAACACTGAATTGACAAATGTTTACATAGAGATAGAACTGAAAATGCCTAGTGGGTGCTGTCTACTCTGACAGATACTGTTTTTGCAATGCCATACATCTTAAACTGTTCATACTAACAGGAGTTACTCTTGGAGCCAAGTCTGTAGTTGCTTTTGCATTTTGTAATAGAAAGGCCTAACTCAATTACCACTGTTAAGGGGAAGCTGTGAATAGCATGGTGTATCAAATTACCAAGCATTTCTAGCAAGTAGTGGGTTTGCTATTAAAGCATTTTTTGCAAGCATACATTTTTCTTTTGCAGTAAAAATGTTAATAAAAGGCATTTTAGTGTACTTGCCACATGACAAACTTTAAGATTTTCTTCACCGAAGTTAGGTGCCTGGCATCCAATGAAATCTGATAGGTTTTGGATGTCTCATTTTTTTTAGAAAATCACAGTTTTCTAACACTGTGTTTACAATGAAGGAATTACTATGGTAAATAAAATACATCCATCCAAATGAATGAAACGCCTTTTGCACATAATAACTATTGCAAGTTAGTTTCAGAATTTGTGAAGGAAACCACTGATTACTGTCCCAGTCCACCCCAGATAGACCAAAGCAGTCTGGCTGTATCCCTGTGTGCAAGTGTTGTAACAAAGTAGGAGTAGATCTGCAGGGCAAAACGGTTGGTGCAGAGGACATGACAGATGGAATGTAGAGTTTAAGGGTTTTGCTGTTGCCTTGCTCGGTACAGTGCACTGGACCTCATTAACAGCCCTAATGCCCTAGCTGATGTGGTCCAAAACCACCCTCAGATGTGACAGGGAGAGCAGTAAGTGGGAATGGTCAGGAGATTCAGTTCAAAAGTACTTTTCTGATCTGAACAGAAACAGTAATGTAGATGTATCCTACAAATAATTTGTGGGAGATCCACTCTGACAATGGCATCTGTGAAATGCTTCCTGCCTCTGATACGGACCTCTCCACACATCACCAGCAATGGATCTGCTTCAGGTTCTTTGTGGAACATAGCACGAAAAAATGTAAGCAAACGGTGCATTATCAGTGCAATACCTCAGCAACATTCCCAGTCTCTGTGAATGCTGCAATTCCCCCAGTTTGCCTCAGCCCCTGTAGATAAAGTTACACTGCATGAGAGCACTATGCTGAGTGTGGTTCCCACAAGTGAATTGATAAAGAAATGGAGGTCCTGTCTGCAGGAATTAATAATGCTTTGAAATTTGTCCCCACATCCTTGGCTATGTCAGTAGTATTTCATGTATGCTATGTGCTGGTTGGATACTGTCAATGGCTTGAGCAGAAATCAATTTCTCTGTTGAAGCAGCAAGATGCAGTACTTTGTTTCAGATGAAAGGGGCAATTTACACCTTGAGCATCATCAAAGATGATTTCAGCATGTTTTATTTCTTGTCACTAGCAGCATAACTATTTCTGTTATTCAGATGAAAATAAGCACTAAATTAACAGAGTGCTTGAATTTTAACTCCAAATTGTCTTTGCCTGGCTTCCTTTTAACCAACAGAAGTGTGAGATCAAGCCAGGAGAATCCATTCACAATTTCTGTTTTCTTACCCTATCAATGTAAATGTAAAATGATGGTTACAAATGTGTTATTTATTTTACTAGTCTCACATTCATCTTAACTGAGGTGAAGAACATGCATATTTTAGTTTGTGGCTGGGTGTCTCCTTGATTCAG